ACAATTTGATGAACTTGACCTACACTATGGAAGCAGTAGCTCAAAAGAGGGCACAAATCCTTACAGCAAGAATCATTCCCACCCCCTCCACACACAGAGTAGACAGGAATGGGCAACTTGGACACTGGCTACCCAAAATGGGAGGCGGGGGGCTACAAAGGCAAGAAGTGACTGGCTTACAAGCTTTCAAGAGGGAATCAAGATTCTGAGGGTGTGGGGGAAGGTAGTATCCAATCTGTCTGGGTGGGGCTGATGAAAGGAGATATGGATAGGTCTCTTATGATACAATAGTGAATAATTGTTATCAGGACTGATTGTGAGGGTTGCAAATGTAAAGGTAGACGATTTATAGCAAGGAGGGGAATGATTAACTTTTCAGTCTAGGAGTGGAGGTCCCTAGGACCATCAAGGGAGAAGAGCGGAGAGCGGAACCCTACCCAGAGAATCAGTGATGCCTGAAATGGGGGCAGAGATGGTGACGTGGAGTGATGGAGCAGCTGGAATCACTGCTCCATGGTGAAGACCTGAGGGGTACAGGGGGCAGGCTTGCAGGGTATACCCTTTGGTTGGTTGATGATGCATGGATGGGATTGGAACCATGGCAATGAAACGATATACAATAGAATGAATGTAAAACTAATGTTCTCCCACGTAAACTATCATAAAATTCACAATAAAACATTAAAAAACCCCACAACATTATTAATCTCTGAAAATATGAGTCCTTGAGCTGGTAATTGCAAAATTGGTGGTTGGAACCCACCAGCCACTCCATGGGAGACAGATGAGGCAGTCTGCTCCTGTAAAAACCTATAGTATCGGCAACCCAAGGAGCAGTTCTACTCTGTCCTGTAGGGTCGCTATGAGTCAAAAGAAACTCAATGGCAATGAATAAGCCTTGAAGGTTATTTGTAAACCTTGCAAATCTTCAAGACTTTTATCTAGAGTATATAAAGAACTCCTACAACTCAACAATTAAAAAAAAAATTCCCAACTGAAAAATGGGCAAAGGATCTGAACAGACACTTTTTCTAAAGAAGATCTACAAATGGCCAATCTACAACAAGAGGGTAGGTGGTTAGCAGCGGAAACATGAAGGTAGCAGGAGATACAGGAAGGAATGCTAAAGGACATGGTAAAATATCCTTAGTCATCAGGGAATGCAAATCAAAATCACGAGACACCACCTCACACCCAACAGGCTAGCTAGAATTAAATAAATAAATAAATAAAATAGAAAAATAACAAGTATTTGTGAAAACACGTGAGAAATCTGGGTCCTCATACATAGCTGGTCAATCTGAAATGGGGTCATTTCTTTGGAAGACAGCCTGGCAGTTCCTCAGAAGGCTAAATAGTTAACCATTGTTATTGCTGTTGCTAAGTGCCACCAAGTTGGTTCTGATTCACAGTTACCCCGTAAAGGATTTGAACCACCAACTTTGTGGTTTACACATCAGTGCTTATTCTATAATGCCACCTAAGGACTCCATATCACCCTGAACAAAGGAGCTCTGGTACCATAGTAGTTACGAATTGGGCTGCTAACCTCAAGGTTGGTGGTTCGAAACTACCAGTTGCTCCGCAGGAGAAACATGAGGCTTTCTGCTCCTGTAAAGATTTACAGTCCCGGAAACCCTGTTCAGGGTCGCTATGTGTCAAAACTGACTCGATGGCACTTAACAGCAACAACAAATCACCCTGAACATGCTTGACCTTCTCTGATCTTAAGGTAAGCAGGGTTGGGCCTGGTTAGCACTTGAATGGGAGCTCGCCTGGGATTACTGGGTGCTGTAGGCTTTTGGAGTCTTGGTCTGGAACAGTAGGGTAAATATTAGACTGCTAATCACAAGACTGGCAGTTCAAATCCACTAGCCAACCACTGGAAACCCTATACAAGGTCACTATGACTTGGAACTGTCTAGACAGCATATAACAACAACAAACAGGGCTACAAAGTTACCATTTTCTTAAGTGCAGTGGACTCAGTTCTGACTCACAATGACCCTGTATAGGGTTTCCAAGGAGCAGCTGGTGAGTTTGAGCTGCTGACCTTGCAGTTCAAACATACCCTGAGGTCCAGTGTGTATCCTACAGTGCCACACCAGAATTCCATATGACCCAGAAAATCCACTCGTAAAAAAACAATGTTGACACAAAATCATATAGCAAATGATCATAGTACATAGTTGTTGTTAAGTACCATGGAGTTGGTTCTGACTCATAGTGACCCTTTACAGGGTTTCCGAGGCTGTAAATCTTGACGGAAGCAGAAAGCCTCATCTTTCTCCCGCGGAACGGCTGGTAGTTTCAAACTGCCGATCTTGTGGTTAGCAGCCCAATTCATAACTACACAAAACCACCAAGGAGTGATACAATTCAAATGAATAAATTATGTTGTACATCTATATGGGGAATTTTATTTAGCAGTAAAAAGGAATAAAGCTCTAAAAATGGTATCACATGGTTTATGGATAAACCTTAAAAACAATACATTAAGTTGAAAGGAGCCAGTCACAAAACCCTACATATTATATGATTTCATTTATACAAAAGGTCTAGACTAGGATACCTAGTAAGTCAGATTAAGTGGTGTCAACTGGTTCTGACCCAAATTGCCCGGTCCTGCGCCATCCTGATAATTGTTACGTTTGAGCCAACTGTTGCAATCACTCTGCCAATCCATCCTATTAATGTCGTCTTCTTTTTCACTGATACCAAGCATGGGCTGGTACCTCCAAATAACATGTCCATTTCTAATGAAATGCCTTCCTTGGGAGAATCAAGGGTGGGAAGCTGGTGTCCAGAACATGCAGCAGGGGTGCTGGAGCTCAGGAAGTGGGAAACCCCTTTCCTCCACCCACCTCTGATCATCCTACTTACTACTGGATTCTCTGAGCATCATTGTCATCGTTCAACAAAAAGGAGACCCAGTCCCTTCATCAAGGATGTGGGGTTAGAGATGAAAGGATCCCATAGGTCCCTTCTCAGCCCCCATCAGAGCTGTGGGGTTAAGAAATGAGAGAACCCAAGGTGGTTGACACAGAGGGCTTGAACACTCGCCCTCCAGAACTGTTGGGTGGTCAAAGGAGACCCCCCCAGGACACCCGAGTGACCATGGATGAAAGGAGTCAGCAGTAAGTAACGGGGTGAAGCTGGGCCTGCACTCTGGGGTCTTTGTGGCACGAGGCCCTTCCTGGACCAAAGATGTCACTGAAAATACACAAGGAACTAACTGCACATAAAGCTCTCAAAGCAATGAGTGGTTGCCCCGCCCCCCTCCCTGTACCCAACCAGGGACCTGCCAGAGTCCAAGTCTCCTACCCTGTCAGGCCTCTCCACCAAATGGCTCCACCCCCACCAGACCTTACCCGGGTCTTGGCCTTCAGGAACACATGGCTCTCCATGTCTTTGCTGGATTTATTGTGGGCTACGCCAGCCTTCCTCATGGCATCCTCGCTGAAATACAAAAGGGGGAAGAGATATTTACACACCTAGCCTGTCCCTCCTGCCAGGGATTGGCCAGAAGGCCCGTCTGGAAGGACCCCTGGACAATCATGCTGCTTCTGAGTGAAGAAGGCATTGAGTTCCCTGTCAGAGCCTGAGGGAGGGTACTCAGCAGTGCAGAGTTGGGTCAGGAAGAGGATGTTTCTGGCAAGAGTATAACCTCACATAACATCAGAGGGTGCACCAGACCTCTGGGGAGTCATGTGAAGTCATATCTCAGTTCCTTCCAAGCAAGAATCCTTCTGGGGGATTCTTGTAGAACATGTAGGTTCTCCATGTGGGACCAAGCCCCAACTTCAACATACAGGATGAGACAAAGAACACATTCGTGAAAAATATCTTACACCAGCAATGAACCTTGAAAAAAATGCTTAACTGAATGGAATCAGTCACAAAAAGGCAAACAATGTATGCACTCACATCTATGAAATAAGCAAATACGAGGGGGCTTCAAAAAATTTATGGAAAAATGGAATGAAAAGATAATGAAATTTTCTCACAAACTGAAGCACCCTTGTGTGTTAGCTGCAGTCAGGTTTTCCAACTTGTAGTGACCCTATGTTTGAGCAAAACTACTCTATAGGGGGGTTTTGGTCGTATTCTTTACAGGAGCAGAGTGACAGGCTGTTCTTCTGCAGAGTCGATTCCCTGGTGGGTGGATTTGATTGGCCAGCCTTTAGATTAGCAGCCAATCCCAACCTAATGCACCACCAAGGAGCCTTATGCAAATATACTGTCTTTGTTGTTGTTAGTTGCCACCATGGCGACCCTACATGTGCAGAATAGAACTGCTCCACAGAATTTTCAAAACGGATCTTTGGGAAACAAATCACTGGGACTCATTTGAGTCAATCTTTTGGCTAGTAGTCGAGTGCTTAACTATTTGAATCCTACACAAATAAACACATTATAACCAAACCCAACCCACTACCATCGAGCTGATTCTGAGTCTGAGTAACCCAACAGAACAGTGGTTACTAGTCTCTCTGGTGTCGGAGATGGTCAATTATTACAGAAGCAGAACTACCTTATCTTTCTCCTGCAGAGTAGCTGGTGAGTTCCAACTGTGCTCCCAGTACCACTTAAGCAAATATGTTGTTGTTGTTAAGTGCCATCGAGTTAGTTCCGACTCATAGCAACCCTGTTATAGGTTTTTGAAGGAGCAGCTGGTGAGTTTGAACCACCAACCTTGTGGTTCAAACTGACCTTGTGATCCAGTGCTTTATTCCACAACACCAAAACTAATTAATGGTTACCGGGGGTGGATGGCGAAATGAGTTTTTAATTAGGGGGCACTAAGTTGCCATTAATGGTAGTGGAATCATTTGGAAATGAGCCATGATTGTCAACTTGAAGAATGTCATCAATGTCACTGGATTCTACATGTAAAAACTGTTGAATAGCATATATTCTGTTGTATATATTTTCACCACACACATAACCAAAAAACAAAAGAAACACATCTTAAAAACACACTTGCCAAGCCTTAAGCCCACAAACCACCAAGGATGGAATCTTGAGACTGCCTACACACTCTGTGCAGATTCTGCTGCCTGGTCTTCTGCAAAGCCCACTTCCTTCCAAGTCTGTTTCCCCAGCATGGGCCACAGGATCGATTTGAGAGGAGGGAACTGCCGGAGGGGTGGAGGGGCCAGTGGTGGGGAAGCAGGGTACCCATCTGGCTGAGAAGCCAATAAGTAGTAGTGGGCCACATTTGTCAACAAGGTGTCATTTTGTAGGCTCTAGGAAGGAGCTCTGGTAGCGTATTGGTTATTAGTCGGGCTGCTAACCACAAGGTCAGCAGTTCGAAACTACCAGATGCTCCAGGTGAGAAAGATGAGGCTTTCTGTCCCATAAAGATTTACAGCCTCAGAAACCCTATCTATACAGGGTCACTGAGTTGAATCGACTCCCCGGCATATCACCACCACCAGGAAGTCACTGAACATCTTGATTACATCTGTCCCCCAGGGCCATACACATTCCTTTTCATGTCTTTCAATGAAACCATTAGGAAAATCCAGCAAAACAGGAGACTTCCATACTGTGGCTACAAAGGGAGACCTATAAGACGGCAGCAGTGGCAGGAACTATGATGGCCAGCTGAGACACCTGGGGATCAGCTGTAGGGGTAGGAGAGCCCACTGGGGTAAGGCAGGTGGAGACAGAAGCCAAGGTGAAACAGTGAGGAAGTGCCAAGACGTAGTGGTATCTGGGGCTCTGATGAGTGGGTACCTAGAGATCCATGCCCTGAGAGACAAGGGCACAGGGCATAGGGCATTAAGGGCTAAGCTAAGCTTCTAGGCTATAGCACCTGGGTCACTGGTGTGCTGTTTCTGGTAGGATGCTCATTGCATTTAGACCCTGGGCATCATCACTGCAAACAAGATAGCAAGGAAGATGACTAAGCATAGGGCAGCCAGGCCCAAAGAAACATGTTTGATGAGCTAATGGCAAAGTTGCATTGAAGGTAGGGAATCTGTCGGAGAGTGTGACCTCACAGGTGACTTGGACAAGTGACATCCAAGCCTGGGTAGCAAATGGTATGGGACACCAGAAAGAGGTATGCCTCCAAGAACCCACCTGAACAATGTGAAATGGAACTGGGCAAGTGTTCTATGAAATGACAATCAGCTATGACTCTGACTCTCCACCCCTCCGAGTGGAAATGAGAAATGAACAAAGACAGTTTGGGCACTGTTTTCAGGTCTGTAAACGCTATTTTTCAATATATCTTTGCTCCCGTTTCTAGGCTGACGATGAAGTTCTATAACACAGAAAATGAGGCAACAAAGAAAACAAACAATTCTACTTTCTGTTGACAGTATCGCTTTTCTTGGGCCAAGAGGGCCTGACCTTTCCTGCTGTGTGGCCTCAGTAATCACCCCCACCTCCTGATTCATTCTGGTTGCTTTACACCTGGGGCTTGACAGCACCCCCTGCAAGAGCAGCGGCCAGGATGACTTGAGGTCAATTGTGTCACAATCAGAACAAGACCTCCACAAAAACACCAGACACTAGAGCCAGTGGTCCTCTGATGCCACCACCCACCCTCCCTGAGATGAACTTGGCTTGCATCCCCAACTCTTCCCTGACCTAGGATAACTTCCTGAATGGCCTCTGTTCACTGATAACAAACACACTCAGTAAACTGTTCTCAATGTGTCATGATAGTGAGAGTCAAGAGACAGGCAGATTAGAATACCTAAAAGGGGTTCTAGAATTTGCCCAGTGAAATACGTCTCTTGCAAAGCCTTTGCAGAGTATAGGACCTTATGTGGAATCCTGAGTCCCATCCGGAACCTTATGAGGTGGGACATTCCCACTAGCAAGGACACATTCCCACTAGCAAGGACAAGGAGTCCAGCCTGGAACAGCTACAGTGACAAAAAATACATCTTCAAAGAAAGACCATCAGGAAAACCCAAAACAAAAATGTCAGCATGACTGGCTACCACAAGAATAAGCAAGCTGTTCTCCAGGAAGACATCAAAGCAAGCAATCAAGTTCCTTCAGGACAAACTCCCCTCTAAGACTGAAACTCAA